AGGTTCTCCTGCCCATGAATCTTCCCCACTTTACATCTTGTATTCGCAACTATGTAGCCTGCTCTTATGATGGCATCTGTAGTTTGAAAGATTTTGCAGAAAAGATGGTCAGATTTCAAGGGTGCTGGGCAGTGTTTCCTGGGAACTAACTTATATGGAAATTTATCTTTTTTTTTTTTTGAGATGGAGTCTCACTCTGTCACCAGGCTGGAGTGCAGTGGCACAATCTCGGCTCACTGCAACCTCTGACTCCCTAGTTCAAGCGATTCTCCTGCCTCAGCCTCCCAAGTAGCTGGGATTACAGGCACGCACCACCACGCCCAGCTAATTTTTGTATTTTTAGTAGAGACGAGGTTTCTCCATGTTGACCAGGATATTCTTGATCTCCTGACCTCGTGATCCGACCACCTTAGCCTCCCAAAATGCTGGGATTACAGGCATGAGCCAACGTTCCTGGCCAAAATTTTTCTTCTTTAAAGAGAAACAGTCACAAAGTTAGAGAGGGCCATCACAGTTCTCTTATTACCTGCTGGGACTACTGTGAGTAATAATAGATTGATTTTGGTCTACTTTAAAGAAACATTAGAGATTTCTGAATAGTAGATATTTTAAGAAGTTATTTTCCTTTCCCGCCTTCACACAGTGTATTTCAACCTGTTATCATTAGTGTGTGTATCAGTCTCTTCTGCTCATTAGTATTCTTTGTTTTTGTCTTTAAAAGTCATACTTTGTAGATATCTAAAAAGACCTCATGCCACTTTTTATAGTGCACCTCCCCTTATTTTCATTTAGTGGTATTGCTGATTTCTGGAGTGTAGGGAACCTGCTGAAATGTATTATCTCTGCTATTTTTTCATAAGGTTATTATGTAGGATTTACTTTTGACTTATTAGGAAAAATGATTTCAGATATCTGGAGTACAAAGAGGTCCATATAAAGCCAGTTTTCAGATGTCTAAATTATGTCTTTAAAGTAAAATGGTTCAGCATTTTGCTGTCGTTTCCATAGCAATATGTCATTTATTTGTGGCTGTGACTACTGAAGGCTAAATAGTCATAAAGTCAGTTCGGTCTTTGCAGCTGGTGTGCTTTGATGATAACTTGACTGAGTTATCGCCCCTGTATTTAGTGACTTGATATAGGAAGAGTTTAGTCCTTTTAGAGCAAAGCTTTGGCAGTAATCATGCTTTCTGCACATATGGTGTTATTTACCATGTGCTTGGCGTATCTTTGTTTCATAGCTTAGAAATATTTGGAAGGCCTAAGCAGTCTGTTTAGATCCCTGTTAGGACATTTGAGAATTTTATGCAGTTGTAAAATTACCACTTAGGTTCAGCACCAGGACAACTTGAAGTGGCAATCCATACGTCAAATGAGGAAAGACCTTTTCATTACAGGTTGAGCATCCCTTATCTGAAATGGTTGGGACCAGCAGTATTTAGGATTTCAGGGTTTTTTAAAATTTTGGAATGTTGGCATTGTCCTTATCCTTATGGTTGAGCATCTCAAATCTAGAAATCCAAAATCTGAAATACTCTAATGAGTATTTCCTCTGAGCGTCATGTCTATACTCAGAAAGTTTCAGATTTTGAAAGCTGATCATGGTGGCCTGTGCCTGTAGTGCCAGCTACTTTAGAGGGTAAAGTAGGAAGATTGCTTGAGCCCAAGAGTTTGAGGCTATAGTGTGCACTGCAGTTGTGACTGTGAATGGCCTCTGCATCCCAGCCTGGGCAACACAGTGAGACCCTGTCTTTTAAAAAAGTTGGCCAGGTGTGGTGGCTTTGGCCAGGCGTGGTGGCTTATACCTGTAATCCCAGCACTTTGGGAGACTGAGGCAGGTGGATCACTTGCAGCCAGGAATTTGAGACCAGCCTGACCAACATGGCGAAACCCCATCTGTACTAAAAAAATACAAAAATTAGCTGGGTGTGGTAGCAGACGCCTGTAGTCCCAGCTACTTGGGAGGCCGAGACAAGAGAATCACTTGAATCTGAGAGACAGAGGTTGCACTAAGTTGAGATTGCACTGCTGTACTCCAGCGTGGGCGACAGAGTAAGACTCTGTCTCCAAAAAAAGCAAACAAAAACAACCAACCAAAAAAACTCTCTCCCCCTAATTTTTTTTTTAAGTTTCAGATTTTGGAGCATTTTGGATTTTCAGATTAGGGAAACTTAACCTGTGTTATTTAAACACCAAAGAAAGGAATTCTATTCTAATATTTGTGGCTGGCTACTTGCATACCAAAGAGAAAGTGTAGATGGTTTTACATATATGCCACCACCATCAAAGTAGATACAAGTCGGTGTGCTTGAGCTAAGAATAATCTAGTTTTGTTTGTTTGTTTAAAAGTTAGAACCGATAATTTTTTTTAGGATTGCTATCTTTTAATCCATGAAAGGCTAAGTGTTTTAATGAAATTGTGTAAAATTTTTAAATAGTGGAGCTTATTTCTAGTATCCGTTTGAATAAATGTATCCATATCAAATTGGAGGTTTAAAAAAAAAAGACTGCAAAAACTATAGGAAAAGGGTTTGCGTCCTGAGAACTTGTTTGCCAAAAAAAAAAAAAAAAAAAAAGGAGTAGCATATAAGAAATCTGATACAATCTCTTTCTGTATGGGAGGAAATCGCGCCATTGCACTCCAGCCTGGGCGACAGGGCAAGACTCTGTCTCAAAAAAAAAAAAAAAAAAAAAGGAACAAAACAAGTTGTACATTTAAACAAATTGTTTTAAATTCAGATAGTGAATCTAATTCCAGAAGTTGGTGTATTAGTTATCTGCGCTGTGTAACAAATTGTAGCACAGCTTCTGTTAGTTGGGAATTTAAGACTTGCTTGGCTGGGTGGTTCTGGCTCAGGGTCTTTCATGAGCCAGGATATCAGTCACAAGCCAAGCGTAGTGGCATATGCCTGTAGTCCCAGTTACTCAGGAGGCTGAGGCGGGAGGTTCACTTAAGCCCAGGAGCCTGAGGCTGTAGAGCACTGTGATTGCACCTGTGAATACCTACCTACTTCAGCCAGGACAACTAAGCAAGACCCCTTCTCCAAAGAGGAAAAAAGAAAAGATATCAGCCAGGGCTGCAGTTATCTGAAGGCCGAACTGAAGTGGGCTGGAGGATCTACTTCCAGGATAACTCACCCCGAGGACAGTTGACAGAAAACTGCAGGTCCTCATTGGCTGTTGGTAAGAGGACATAGTTCCTCATCACTGGACCTTGCCACAGACTGCTTGTGTGTTTCCGTGACATGGTAGCAATCTTCCCCCAGAGAGAGCACTCTCAGAGCAAGCAGGCAGCTGTAGTGCCTTTTGTGACCAGTCCTTCAAAGTCATCATACGTGCCACCTTCACATTTTTTCGACAGAGGTGAGGCATTGAGCTTAGCCTACACTTGGCGTGGGGAATTAGTCTCCACCTTTTGAAGGGAGTGTCAAAGAATCTATGAAGGTTTTTAAAACCACTGCAGTTGGCCTAAAAGGGACATGGGATCTATTCAGATTCCCCCCAAATCTTCAAAACTTTCTAGAAGTTTACATCGGATCCTAAAGTATCCAAATCAAATTTATAGAATGCAGACCACTGAAGGTCAAATGTAGAATCACAGAATTTTGAGCTGGAAGGGATCTGGTTTTTCATTTATGCAAATAAGAAAACAGAGGCGAAGAGGTTGCATGACAGTGGTAGTTGTAATGTCTGTGTCTGTTGTTGGTATTATATTAGGACGAACACCTCAGATCTCTGGACTTTTAGATAGATGCCTGTGTTGTCCTCAGGGTAATGTCCTGGATCTTCTGCACTGGAACTTGGGGTTTGATTTTCCCTTCCTTTCTCTTTTGTGTGGAGAACTGAGAACTAGGGCATCAGCACTAACTAGACAATTATCCTCTGGTTTTGTCTTCTCTACAGCTGAAGGAAGAATTTTAATGCAAACATAACTTTTCCCCTCACTTCTATGAAGCAGACTATTGCTCTTCCAAGAGAGATTTAGTGAGATTATGCTGTGTTCCTTGATATGGCAAAATTCCAGGCAAATGTGTGAAGGAGTGAGCCCTAGTACCATATGGAATCTACAAAGACCTACGTTGCTGCTGCCACCTTGAAACACTTAAGTGGGTTTCTGAAACCTCTTAAGTGTGTTCCTACTTTTTTTTTTTTTGAGACAGAGTTTTGTTCTTGTTGCCCAGGCTAGAGTACAGTGGTGCAATTTCAGCTCACTGCAACCTCCACCGCCCAGATTCAAGCGATTCTCCTGCCTCAGCCTCCCAAGTAGCTGGGATTACAGGCACATGCCAACACGTCTGGCTAATTTTTGTGTTTTTAGTAGAGACGAGGTTTCGCCACATTGGCCAGGCTGGTCTTGAACTCCTGACCTCAGGTGATCCACCTGCCTCGGCCTCCCAAAGTGCTAGGATTACAGGCGTGAGCCACCGTGCCCGGCCCGTGTGTTCCGACTTTTTAACAGTCTCCTTTGAAACCTGCATGAAGTTTGGTTCGATATCTCTAAGATAGTGAGGTAAAACATGTTTTAGGAAAAATTCTTTTAGCCTAAATACGAGTGATTTGACAGTGCTCAGAAAAATTGATTTTGTGACAAGACTGATTTTGGGGTTCTGCTTATTTTCAGCAATGCATCTTTTCTGATTCACTGCCTTTTGGCTGTTGGTCTTTACAGTTTGCCTTTGTAGTCATGACCAGTTGTCTTTACCATACCTCCCAGCCTCCTTTTTTTGTGATGAAACTCTTAGAATATTTAAAAATTTTAGCAGATAGTGCGCATGCAAAAAATGTTTGCGAATGTTTGTTTTCCACTTTCTAATCAAAATATCTGTTTCAGGTTTTTCTGCAGCTTGGGCAAGGCTGCCAATGCCAGATGGCACCGTTTCTGAGAGAAGAGCTAGCTTTTGCTTAGAAGTAATACCCACAAACAATGCCAAATTAGCATAAGCAAATGTCAGTGAGTTAACACAAAGCCAACACTCTTTCTATCTTTTCTTTCCTTCCTAGGCCATGGGTGTTGAGAGTGACCAGGAAATTGTGCAGATGATTGGAACAGAGGAGCACGTGATGGCTGCATTTGGGCCCAGTCTGGAAGAGTGCCAGAAAGCTCAGATTTTCACACAGATGCAGGTGTGTCTTTTCATGTCGTCCTTTGCCATGAAATGGAATTGGAGACTTAATGCCGCTCATTGATAAAGCTCATCGGATGTGATGGCTTTGGGCTCATGGATGTGGGAAAGGTATTGGGGAGATGGGAAAAGTGAAGTTTCTTTAACTCACTTTTGTCAGGATTGGAGGAGGAGTTTCCTCAGACAAATTAGGAGCCTATGGTGCCTAACTTAGAATAGGGATATATGGCCAAGAGGTGTTTATTTTGATGTAATAGCAAGTACTGTTTATTTTTCCTTATTTGCCTGAGTGATAATATATTTTTTTAAACTATGGCAACTCTCGTGTACAGGGTGTGTGTGTGTGCATACATTTCTCTTTCATATCTTTTTTTATTCCCTACTTCAGTTGCTTTAGGCATTCAGTTATGTGTGGTTTCTATTTCTTTTCCTGAATTCCCAGTGCTACTTTGAACAGCAAGGAAAACCCGGAATCAGTCCTTTTTATTGCTACAGAGCCTTCATTGACCTGCTCAGGCACTCCTGGTTGGACCCTGGGAATTTTAGGACAAGACTCAAAGAGGAAGATTGAGAAATACACGTGCACACACGCACACACACACACACCCCATAATAAAAATAATTGCACTTCCCTTCCCACATGGAGGGAGCCCCAGCAGCCATACTTAGGATTTTAGTCCCATATTTGCCAGTGCTTTCCTAAGTATAAATCAAAGGTAACATCCCTCATAGCCATCCTGGGAGGTGGGAATTCCCTACTGTAGAATCACAATAAACAGTTCTTACCTATCCACATGTACATTGTCTGTTCTGTGGGTTAAGTATGACATACGTAAACTCCAGCCTGCTTTTTTTCTCTTCACCCAGGATGTTTGTAGAGAAAGCATTTCCCACTTATATCTGTTAGTATGTATTCTGAAATCAAATCAGTATTGATATTTTTGTAGACTACACTAGATATTTAGAAAGATTGAAATAGGACAGTAAATATATAATTCCAAAGTACAAATCAGTAAGGATTATTCTCATCACTGCCTTCCTCTTTTTCAACAGTTAATTAGTAGTTGACTGCAGTTACAGGGCAGGCAGCACCAGGAAGAGTGGTTTGGATTTAGGAGATTCTATTTTTGGCCTTTATCAAAAATGAAATATTTGGTAGGCATGAATCTTTGTTATACACTGAAGTTATATTGTCCAAGGGTTCCAAGAACATGAAGAGAAAAACCTTAAGAAATATCCAGGAGGCAGAAAATGTAGAATCTACCCTGCAAACAGGAATATTTGGTTCCATTTTGGGAGATACCCTATTTTTTAATGCTGTGTAGTGCCCTACAAGAGCAGTTTACCTTAATGGTTTCCCAGTGGCTTCAATGAAATCCATTATGCGTTTTATTTCAAACATCGTAATTGGGGTTAAATAACCCTAGCATTGTAAAGCTGAGCAGAGCCCAAACAGTAGTTGGAAAATCATTCATTTATTTCTGTTAAATAGGTTCTGACGGAAAATTTCAGCTAACTAAATCAGATCAGATTAGTGAAAAGATGGCAGGAAAAGATGGAGGGAAGTTAACATAAAAAGACAAATGTTCCTTTTCCTCGAAAGGGAAGTATAACTTTGAAAGTGCTTGTACTCTGTATGCTGCACATATTAGCTATTAAAACTGATAAAAGGATATAGAGATGCAAGCAATCTAAAATAGTTGGTATGTAGAACATATATTACCAGTTACAAAAACATGAATATTCTGTGCTATTCTAAATGAAAATGTAGGAAGTACACTTTGTATTAGTCTGTTCTCACATTGCTATAAAGAAACACCTGATCAGCCTGGACAACATGGTAAGACCCCATCTCTACAATCAATAAAAATAAATCAGCCAGGCGTGGTGGCATGCACCGGTGGTCCCAGCTACTTAGGAGACTGAGGCAGGAGGATCACTTGAGCCTGAGAGGTCAAGGCAGCAGTGAGCCATGATTGTGCCACCCCAGCCTGTGCGACAGAGTGAGACGTTGCCTCAAAAAAAGAGATGCCTGAGACTGGGTAATTTATAAAGAAAAGAAGTTTAATTGGCTCATGGTTTTACAGCCTGTACAGGAACCATAGCGGCCTCTGCTTCTGGGGAGGCCTCAAGAAGCTTCCAGTCATGGGAGAAGGCAAAGGAAGGGGCAAGGCGTCTCATATGGTGGGAATGAGAGCAAGAGAGCTTGAGAGAGGAGGGGGTGCCACACACTTTTAAACAACCAGATTGGGAAAACTCACTATCAGGAGGACAGCACCAAGGGGATGGTGCTAAACCAGTCGTGAGAAATCCATCCCCATGATCCAGCCACCACCCACCAGGCCCCACCTCCAACGTTGGGCACTACAATTTGACATGAGATTTGGTGGGGACACAGATCCAAACCATATCACACTTTGTTTTGTTTAATAGAACTTTGGAAGATGTGGCACTTTAATGAATTGCTTAAAACCTGTGGGGTTTTGTTTTTTTGGCCAGGCACGGTGGCTTATGCCTGTAATCCCAGCACTTTGGTAGGCCGAGGTGGGTGAATCATTTGAAGTCAGGAGTTCAAGACCCAGCCTGGCCAATATGGTGAAAGCCCGCCTCTACTAAAAATACAAAAATTAGCTGGGCATGGTGGTGGGTGCCTGTAATGCCAGCTACTCGGGAGGCTGAGTCAGGAGAATTGCTTGAACCCAGGGGTCAGAGGTTGCAGTGAGCCAAGATTGTGCCACTACATTCCAGCCTGGGTGACAGAGCGAGACTCTGTTTTTTATGCCTCTCTTTGTAGTGTCTCTCACATTTCTTCTGTTCCTGAAGCCTTCTTTCTGTGTCGGTCATGTATGTTTTACACCATCGTTGTCTTGGGCTCTAATATATAGAGAAGAAAGTATTAGCTGTAGTAGGGGATAAGAGGCACTAGGCGTGTCATCTTGGCCTATGCATCACAAGGGATACCCTCCTCACCTGTGTTCCTCTATTTCCTCCTCAAACAAGTGAAAAATTGTAGCCTTTTTCACAAGGAAACTAGAAGGTCAATATTTATTGAAGACAGTATTTATTAGTTTGGGGAAAACTGAACTGCCTGTCTACTCACGGTTCCTGCCAACTGACCTGCTTTCTTCATTTACTTAGTTACTACTTACTACTAGGTCACTGCAGCAAGCGTTTTCAGGGTTTTAATTTATCTTATACTCTAATGGCCTTTTAATGGGAAAGATTTAGATTTGAAGTCCAAATCTTATCATGGGATGGAGTTTCATTCAGTTCCAAACACTGTACTAATCACTGGGAGTCAAAGAAAAAGATGACGGAATTCCCACCCACCAAGTCTAGTAGGAAAAACATACATGTAAATAGATCATTAAAACATAATGTGATATGAACATGAATTAAAATATGCAATCCTGAATGCACAAGGAATTAAAACTGCAGAGAAAGAGGAGTGGGGTTAGGAAAGCCTTCGGGGAGGAAGTGATACCTGATCTAGGTTTTGAAGCATGAGAAAGGAATTCCCCAAGCAGGTAATTGGGCAGGAATTCCAAGATAAAGAATCAAAGATCCCAGCCTTTTCTTCTGCTAAACTGAAAGTCTTATTTATTTATTTATTTATTTTTAAGTTCATTTTTGGCCAGGCACGGTGGGTCACACCTATTATACTGCCACTTTGGGAGGCTGAGGCAGGATGATCACTTGAGGCTGGGAGTTTGAGACCAGCCTAGGCAACGTAATGAGACCCTGTCTCTACCAAAGGTTTTTTGTTGTTGTTATTGTTGTTGTTTTAGTTAGCTGGGCATGGTGGCATGTCCCTGTAGTTCTGCTACTTTGGAGGCTGAGTGAGGTGGGAGGATTGCCTGAGCCCAGGAGATTGAGGCTGCAGTGAGCTGACATCACATCATTGCACTCCAGCCTGGGCAACAGAGTGAGACCCTGTCTCAAAAAAAAAAAAAGGTATATTGTTGTTCCAAAATAATAAGAACCACATACTCTTCTTCTTTAAACACTGTTGATTAGGAAAAATTTCAACATATATAAAGTGCAAATAATAGTGTTATAAATGTTCATGTACCCAAGGCCTACCTTCAGAAGTTGTCAACACTCTTACTTGGTTATTTTAAGTAAATTTATGTACATTAAAATATACAAATCTTAATTGTATGACTTTACAAGATACAGAATATTTCCTTATCACACAAAGTTCCCTCATGCCCCTTTCTAGTCAATCTTCACCTCTACTCTCTGATTTTTTCCCCACTATTCTGATTTTTGCACTGTAGATTAGTTTTGCCAATTACAGAACTTTATATATGGAATTAGGCATCATAAATTAGTGATTTTTGCACCATAATTTAGTTTTACCTATTTTAGAGCTATATATATGGAATTAGGCCATATATACTCTTTCATGTCTAGCTTCTTTTGCTGAGCTTATTGTCTGAGATTCATCCAAGTTGTTTCTTTTTGTTCCTTTTTATCTCAGTTATCCACGTAGTTCATTTCTTTTTATTTCAACATAGTATTTCATTGTATGAATATACCACAGTTTATCTGTTTTCCTATTGATAGACACTTGGTGTGTTTTTCAGTCTTTAGCAATTATGAATAAGACTGTATAAACAAATCTTTATGTGGACATGTTTCATTTCTCATGAATGAGTACCAAAGAATAGAATTGTTGAATCAGAGAGCAGATATGTATATAACTTTTATATATACCTTGTTCCAAAATGATTGTACCATTTTGCATTTACACCAGCAGTGTATGAGAGTTCTTTCTTTCTTTTTTTTTTTTTTTTTTTTGAGACGGAGCCTCACTCTGTCACCCAGGCTGGAGTATAGTGGCATGATCTCCGCTCACTGCAATCTCCACTTCCTGGGTTCAAGCGATTCTCCTGCCTCAGCCTCCCAAGTAGCTGGGACCACAGTTGTGCGCCACCATGCCCGGCTAATCTTTTTGTATTTTTAGTAGAGATGGAGTTTCACCATGTTGGCCAGGCTAGTCTTGAACTCCTTACTTCAGGTGATCTGCCTGCCTGATTACAGGCATGAGCCACCACACCCAGCCTGATAGAAAGTTCTGATAGCTTCATGTCCTCATAATATCTGGTGTTGTCAGCCTTTTTAATTTTAGCCGCTCTAGTGGGTGTATAGTGGTATCTCATTGTGGTTTTAGTTTTTATTTTTATGATAACAAATGATGTTGAACCTTTATGTGTTTATTGGCTATTTGTATTTTCTTCTCTGTGAAGTGTAAGCCAAATGTTCATTTTCCTTAGTGAGTTTTCTTGTTGTTGTTGAGTTTAAGAGTCCTTTTAAAAACAAATCCCGGATGTAACTAACTTCCTTGTCAGCATTATGTATTTTCTCCCAGTCCATTCCCTCTCTATTTGTTTGCTTAATTCTATTTTTTAATTTTGAAAAAACTTAGGGTTTTTTTTATTTGTTTCACTTTTACATTTATTGCTCTCTGTGTTCTATTTGAAGAAATCTTGCCTACCCCAAGGTTAGGAATATATTCTTCAATGTTTTCTCCTTGAAGCTTTATAGTTTTATTAATAGTTTTTATGGTTAGATCTAAAATCCATCTTAAACTAATTTTTGTGTTTGTTGTGAGGTAGGGGTCAAGATTAATTTTTCACTTTATGGATAGTTGTTTCAACAACATTTATTGAGAAGACTTTTCCTTCCGCATTGAATTGCTGTGGTACTTTCGTCAAAAGTCAACTGATCTTTTAGTATGTGTTTATTTCTGGACTTTTTATTCTCTTTCATTGATTTGTCTATCCTTGTGCCAGTATCACACTATTTTGATTACTTAGCTATATAGTTAAAATCAGGTAATATAATACTCCAATTTTTTTCTTTCAATATTGTTTTAGCTACTCCAGGTCCTTTGCATTTCCATGTAAATTTTAGAATCTAAAATTTTAGAATCTAGAATTTTAGAATTAGTCAGTTCTTGCTTTTTAAGCCTGCTAAGGGTATAATTAACAATTATGAATGTATTGGTCAATTTGGAGAGAATTTTAACACTAAGCCACTTTTAATACCATTGAATCATCCAGTCCACGAACATGTCATGACCCTTAATTTAGTTAGGTTCTGTTTTCTCTCAGCACTGTTTTGTAGCTTTCAGTGTAGAGGTCTTACATGGTATGATTCATTTTTGAGAGGAAAAAAGTACTACTATAAAATTTACCTGTGGTTTTCTCTGGGTGAAGGACTGATGACTGCTGTATGTCTACACACACACACACACATATTTTACTTGTGTCTGTATTTTCTAAATTTCCTACAATGACAGTGTATCAATTTTTTTTAGTAAGAAAACAAAAAATAAAAAGGGAACCAGTGTATTAGGCAGTGTGCTATGCTTTTTGTCATTGATTTACGATAAATGTAGATTTTGGACTAGACCCAGTATAGCCTTCTCTATAACCAGGGTCTTTATCTCTTTTGCTTATAGTGTACGTGTGGTTAGGTGCTTACTAAACTACCTCCAGTGATGTTATTCAAACGTTATTACAATCTTTTTTATAGGCATTAAAATATATAGGGAACAAAGTAAGAAGGCAAAGGATGTGGGGAGGTGGACCAAAGAAAACCAAAATAGAAGAAGCAAGAGAGCTCCTGGCTTCCACCATTCTGACCCATGTCCCAGTGAGTAACACTGTTACTGTAAATAAAGACTATGAGATCTGTGAATTCCTGTTAAAGAACTGTGATAAGAGTTTACCTCATTTAAAGTCTAACTCCTCAAGAGAAAATTCTAAAGAGGAATGTACTGCCCCACCAGTAATAACCTTCCATTATCAGCAGTTTGTTTATACTCGGAGAATGTTAGCTGTATCGCCATCATCATGTTTATTCTCTTGTGGTTATTCTTTCAGTCTTAAAATATTGTTATTTTATGTTCATACATATATTAGTACTAGATTTTTACTGCTACTAGATTTCATGGTTTTGAAGGACAGAGATGATGTCTTACATGTTTTATAAATAAAATAAGCTTACAGTGCCTTGTCCATACCTATTTTTTATTGTATGGTAAAATTGCTTATGTAAAATATGCTTATGCTTATTGTATAGTAAAATATGCTTCATGGCAAAATATGTATAACATAAAGTTTACCTTTTTACATGTACAATTTTCTGGAGTTAAGTACATTCACACTATTGTACAACCATCACCACAGCAGATAGGTTTAAAAATGCTTACTGAGTGAGTTCATCTTCTAGACCTTGAATTTTAAAGTTCACATCGTCCAGCCTCCTTCACTTACTGTGAAGATTCTTTGATCCAAACATGCTAGATGATTTGCGTTGTCACCCAGCTGGTTAGCGGTAAGAGTAAAGGCTAGAACCTATCTTCTGACCTTGGACTAGTATGTAGTATTTACTTTTTATTAACTTATTAAACAGAGATCAACCATATTGGCATGTGAGGTGTTGGCAAGAGGCAGCCCTCAATTTTCTTCCCGTTTAATGTGTATGTTTTACTAAGTTACAGAATTATTATTTGTTAGACTATCTTGTTAACTAAATAGTCTGGTTTGTAATGAGTTACCATGTGTTCCATCCATGAATAATCTTGTTCAAGGATTGCAAACACGACCTTCAGGGGCTGACTGTAAAATAATGGAAGGTCTAGGGATCTGTGGAAGTCGAGAGTAACCACCTGAATGCATCCAGATCCGATTTTCCTGTATTAAAACACCCTTCAATCCAAATAATACAGGTTTCTCATTCTGCCCCTTGGCTACCATTTGTGCATGTCGTTAATTTAATCTAAAGAATTAGAAAATTTTGAATGTTAAAGCTAGGTCTGAACTGAATTTTAAGCTCTTTTGGATGATTGGAAAGAGTCTGAAACTTAAAATAGCGAAAGTGAATAGTAGAAACAACAAGGGCTTTTGGAGTCTGAGACGTAATTGTTCAAATCCTGGTTTCTCACATTCTAACTGATGAACTTTGGGCAAATCTGAACTTTTCTAAGCTTCAGTTTTCTCATCTGTATAATAAAAGTAATTCCCACTTTCTCGCAGGGTTCTTATGATGATTCAGAGATATAATATACGTAAAGCTCTGTATTTTCCACAGCTCCCCATGTAGCTATTAGGAGCTACGCTTACCTTCATACTATAACTGAGAAGAATGTTGGGTTAATTAAAGAGCTTTAGTTGATAGAGTCCTGCCGATAGTAACGCTTGTTTATTTAGACTGATAAAGACACGCCGGGCGCAGTGGCTCACACCTGTAATCCCAGCACTTTGGGAGGCCGAGGCAGGCTGATCACCTGAGGTCAGGAGTTCAAGACCAGCCTGACCAATATTAAGAAACCCCATCTCTACTGAAAACACAAAATTAACCAGGCATGGTGGTGCATGCCTGTAATCCCAGCTACTCCGGAGACTGAGGTAGGAGAATCACTTGAACCTGGGAGGCGTAGGTTGCGATGAGCCAAGATCATGCCATTGCACTCCAGCCTGGGCAACAAGAGTGAAACTCCAACTAAAAAAAAAAAAACAAAATTTATACTTTTCTGTGGTTGCATGGAATCTAAATTACCATTTTAAAAGCTTGGTTATACGTAATCCAGGGAGGAATAAAGTCAGAATAGATGGATCGGGGAAAAGATCTTCATTTTCCAGAATTGTTTTGGACAGTATTTACCTAAGTGTGATATAAAGGATGATTTTCGTGATACAGGGTCATTTTTTTATGTAAGTAATTATGTACTTACTAGAAAGAATACAACTAGCATCAAATTCATTGGTGTGGTATATGTGATTTTATGGTATTATTGCATAGGATGAAGCTTAGCTTAAAATTGGTTGTTTAAAGATGATTAAACATGTTACATAAATATGTATAACAAGAGATATTTGTGATGGTGGAACTTGAATGACTAGCATTTGGAAAGTATTATTTAGGTGTGTCTGTGTAGAGGGAAAAGCATGGGCAGATACTCAGTACTTCTCAGTGCTTATCCTTGGGGGCGGGCCTCCAGAGGCCTTTGTCTTGGTATCCTGGCCTTTCAGTTCCTTGGGGTCTGTGGTTCCCAAAGAGCATTCTGTGGACTAGTAGCATTGGCATCACAGGGGACTTGTGAGAAATACTTAAACTCTACCCTAGACCTGCTGAATCAGAAACCCTAGGAGTGGGTCCCAATAATCTGTGTCTTAACAAGCCCTCCAGATGATTATGCATGCTAAAGTTTAGAAACCACTGCTCTAAGGGTGATTAGGCTACAAGATGCCTAAGTTCCAGACCACTCTTCCCTCTAATGTAGTATTAAAAGGTCTCCAGAGTTCTGAAACAGGCAACAATTCTGTTTCATCATTCCGAGTTCATTTGTTAGTCCTCTTTTCTCCCCCTCTTTCAGATAATCCGCAGGTTAGTATCCCACAAAGGAGTATCTGAACTACTCTTAGCATTCTCCCAGAAAGTGTTACCAGCTGCTGGACTGAGAGGATCCCCACTCACCATATGACTATGGGAACAGTGCTAAGTATTAACCCATTTCAATTTAGACTTAGAGTTTTGCTTTCTAGCATATAGTCATTAAAAAGGGGAGTGAAGTGAGTTAGGGTTCAGTCCCAAGGGGGTGATGGACTGCACCTCTAATCAAGAAGCGGCGTTATACAGTTCAGTAGGGGCATTTTCCACAAATATCCATATTTATTTCTACTTATAAATGTCTTGGGAGAATCTGCCAGTGTTTATGCAAAAGGAAAATGTGAAATGGGTTTTGTTGAAAATTGAAAATTTTGTTAATGAAAGTTTGCTTTATTTTTCTCATTAGCAAGAAAAATAACTACAACTAGAAGAGTTAGATGTTCCATGTAACTTACCACATTAAGATTAGAACAATAAAATGTAAATTAGATGTGCTTAAATGGAGGACCACACAGCTTTCGAAATAGCAATTGAAAATGTAAATTACTTATAGCTGCCCAGACACTGAGGTTTTCTGCTTGGTATTGTGGTAACTGGTGTTATGATTGTAGAGGGTTTTTTTTTTGGAGGATGGCCAAGAGACTTTTTAAATACCTTCTTATTGATGTAATTGTTTTGTGGGTACAAGATAACAAAGTAGCTTTTAGGTCCACTTTTTCTTTTACCACATTCAAACACATTTCTTTTAACATATTCCAAAGTTCTCAGTAATAGAAAGAGAGTAAATTGACCTAGAGAAGAAATAAAACTTCCTTTGAAGGAAAATGGAGTTTTTGAAACACATACAGAATTCTAACATCCTACATTATTTAGTGGAATTACTTAGCAGCAACAACAAAATGTATGAAGGAGAATGCTTGTTTTTTTTTTTAATGCAATCTATTGATTTATTGTCATAGTGATAAACTTAATAAAAGAGATTTCATTGGGATTTTACTAAATGATTAAGGTAAGTAAAAAGGAAATTTTGTAATAGTATGTATCATCTGTGGAAAAGCCTATAAATACTCCTTGGAATTGGCAGAAGCTCAGGCTATATTCTCAAAATTTGCCTTTTTAGATGTAGTGAAAGGATCCACTTCAGTTTTTTTGCCTCTCCAAACAAACCAGTGCAATTATTTTATCAGTTCTGAGTCAACTTACTGATTGAGCCATTCATTCATATGGGTTTCAGTGTTTCTGCTAGAGAAGATTGACTAGAACATTTGCTACAAATTCATTCCTCTGTTCGTTCATTCAGCAGGTATTTGTTGCATACCAGACAATATCGTAGTACAGTTCTTATCACTGCATAATAAACATTCTAAAACTTAATGGCTTAATGTAACTGTTTATTGTATATCTCGTGATTCTGTGGTTTGACTGGGCTTAACTTAAGGTGGAGGAGGGAGTTCTTATTTCAGGTCTCTTACGAAGTTGCAGACAGATAGCAGCTGAGGTTAGAGTCATCTGGAAGGTCACCTGGGCTAGACATTCCACATGGCATCTTCACTCATATCTCTGACCCCTTCTTGGTTTTCCATTTCACTGGGATTTTACTAAATGAAATGTAGCCTCTGTCTCTGCACAACAGAGTATTTTGGACTTCTCATGTAGTGTCTCAGGACTCTAAGAGAAAGGAAAAGGAAACTTAAGCCAGTTGACTTAAAGGTTAATTCTGGAATTGGCCTGGTATTATTTCTGCTGTATTCTCTTGGTTAAACTAATTATAGGCCAATCCCAAGGGAGTGACAGATCCCACTTTTAATGAAGAAATGGCATAAAGTTTATAGGAAGGGAAGGAGTTGATAGTAGTCATCTTTGACACAAAGGTACTCACAGGTACTGAGGACAATGAGGAAAAGTCATCTCAACTCAGAAAGTTTCCAGACTACTTGAATTTATTTGAATGGAGAGAATCATAACAATTCAGTATTTTCTTAAATGTTGTTATATTGATACTTTTCATGAGGTACATTAAATTTTAGTGTCCATTTTCTCAAATTTTTTCTCCAATTTCTGTCTTACAGGTTAAGGAATTCAATTTCCGAGCCAAATGTATCTATACTGCAGTGATGGTGCGAAGAGTAATTCTGGCCCAAGGAGATAATAAAGTTGATGACAGAGATTATTATGGGAACAAGCGACTGGAATTGGCAGGACAGGTGATTTAATTATTTTATGTCAAAAATCTTTCTTTAATGAAGGTTAATTTGGTTTTCGTTTCACGTAAGAGGAAGAAACATCTGAATGAAATATAGTTTGCATGTTTGAAGGCAAACATTTCATGCCTGACTTATTATCTCTTATAATTCCTTTAACTGTAAAAACATTAATTCTTTTTCTTTTCTTTCTTTCTTTTTTTTTTTTTTTTTTTGAGACGGAGTTTCGCTCTTGTTGCCCAGGCTAGAGGGCAATGGTGCGATCTTGGCTCACTGCAACATCCGCCTCCTGGGTTCAAGCGATTCTCCTGCCTCAGCCTCCTGAGTAGCTGGGATTACAGGCATGTGCCACCATGCCCGGCTAATTTTGTATTTTTAGTAGAGATGGGGTTTCTCCATGTTGGTCAGGCTGGTCTTGAACTCCTGACCTCAGGTGATCCACCTGCCTCGGCCTCTCAAAGTGCTGGGATTATAGGTGTGAGCCACCACGCCCAGTCTAATTCTTTAAATGTTAATAGTACATGACCTATATCTTTTGTTGGGATGTTTACCCTCATTCTGTATAATATACAAAGTGAAGTATGACTTTAAGTAATATCATTTATTCAGTTAACAAATATTTACTAAACACCTATTATGTTCTAGGCATACTCCTAAGTACTAGTTATATTAGAGGAAGTGAGACAGACAAAAGCCTCTTTTCTCTTACTCCTTGTAGTCTCAGTGGGAGGGAGAGAGACAATAATCAAGGAAACAATTCCCTGATTGTTTTGGTGACATGGTAGAGGTAGGTTAGTGAGAATATCGCTAATCTCATTTTAAGTCTTAGCTGATAAATAACGTTTTATTTCAAGAGTGTGTGTATCTTTCAAATGGCTAGCAAGCATCCACAAATCTTTGGTTAGCAAGTATCTAAAAAGCTCCAGAAATAGTTTGCAATTATTTTCTCCTATTCTGTAGGTTGCTTTTTCACTTTCTTGACGGTGTCCTTTGATGCACAACGGTTCTTAATTTTGAAATAGTCCTATTTGTCTATTATTTTCTCTTGTTTCCAGTGCTTTTGGTGTCATATTCATGAAATTATAGACAAATTCAGTGTCAGGAAGATTTCCAGAATGTTCTAAAAGTTTTATAGTGTTAGCTCTTAAGTTTAGGCCTTAGTTTAGGTGAGAGTTTTGTTAGATGTACATTTCTAGATTGATATTTATTATCTCTCACCATTTACTAGTTTGTTTTTGTTTTTTTACTTTAGGCAAATATTTCACCTCCTTCTGCCTCAGGTTCCCTGTCTATAAAAATGGGGTCCATGCCATGTACCTTATAGGATTGTTATGGGATTAGATGAATGATGTATACCGTACCTTGAATGGCACAGAACCATTGTAATTCCTTCATAGATGTTCTGTCTTATCTCTCTAGGTGCTTTTAAGATCTTCTCTTGACTTTTGTTATTCTGTAGTTTTCTTTATGATATGCCTTGGTGTGAATTTCTTTTATTTATTTTGCTTGGTATGTGCGTGTTCCTGTTATCCCTGGATTAATGTCTTTAATCAATTCAGAAAAATTCTCAGCTATTATCTCTTCAAATGTTGCCTATCCTCTCTTCTTTCTATTCTCTTTTTCAGATTTTCCAATTAAGTGTGCTTTAAACTCTCATTTTTTTCCATATCTCTTAACCTCTGTTTTCTTTTTTCTATTATCTTTGTTCCTTTACTGCATTCTGTGTGATTGTTTTTCTAATTTAGCTCTTAGTTCATTTTCTATCCAGCCATGTTCAGTAATTGAGTTTTTTGTTGTTTACTCTTATAGAAGGCTTTTTCATATATTTTTGGTAATTTATTGGTTTTACATTTTATGATGAAAATTCTCAAACATTCAGAAAAGTTAGAATGATTTTGATCATCTTATTTTGTGTGTATTTTTATTTCTTCATTGATTTACATAGCTTTTTAAATTTCATATCAGAAAACTATATTTTAGCATCTAGAATCTAATATGCCATTAATTATAAGGTGGACCACTATTTTTATTTCTACTAAGAAACAAAACACATCACCGGTTAAATTATGACACAGTGCTAAGTGTTAAGATGTATCCCATGTTCAGGAAAAAAAAAAAAAATTCCAATTAGTGAAATATAGTAATTCCAGTATCTAATGTTCTAAAGCTGCTGAGTTAGTTGTTTTTGATTACTCTTAAGGTAGATTGGTTCCTTGTAAGTTCAGCGATCTTTATTTATGAACTCATATTTAATTGAGCTCAGATTCTGGGTGCTATACTAGGGATATTTTCTTTTGGGGATATGTATTTTCTTTTGCAGGGAATAGTGCTGACCTGAAACTTCTAAGTCTTCTTACATGATTCTGAGGATTTTGAGTTTCAGGCTCACTCCTTCATCTTGTCACTGAACTTTGATTTAGTCTCCAGGTCCCTAAGCTGATATCAGTATTTATTCTCAGGGCAACTCTGCCATTTGGATTTGCTTATTGCTCCCTACTCCCTACCGTGGCTTCACCTCATTTTTTAATCTCGTGACTCTTGGAGAGCTAAGGGGTGGTTAGGGGAGAGGGTACCTTGGAATTTTCTTATTCTTCCTGCAAGCCCAGCAGTATGTGAGAAGCATATTTTATCCAGAATCTAGTCATATTGTAGTAACCAGACTCCTCAGAGAATCTAACCCAGTGTGCTCCAAGCAGCAGAGGTCCCTTCATTTTCACGGTAGACTTGAAGCTTCATGAGGACAGAGACTGCATCTTTCTTGTTCATCTTACTAAACTTTGCAACTAATAAGATGCCCCAGATATAGTGTCATCACATATTTGTTGTAGTAATGAATCAGTTAATTATATGTTCTAAAATAGTTTACTTTAAAGCCCCTTTGAATTCTGATATTCTTTCTTCATTGCTGTCTTAATCAGTTAGCAGTGCCATCTACCCATGCTGCTGAGCTGGGAACCTCTGTGTCACTCCAGACTCTTCCTGTTCCTTCAGTCTACACGTCAGGTTTGTCAAATCATCAAATCCTGCCTGTGCCATTTCCTAAATGCATCTCTAATTTATCTCCAGTGTAACTGTTAGAGCACAGGCCTTCAACTTCAGTGTAACCTCCTAACGAGCCTCTCTGTTCTTAGCTTCACCCCAACTCCATTCATCTTCCACAGTGCTAATAAAATTATTTCAACACACAAATACGATCTTCTCACTCTTGTGCTTAGGCTGTTTGAATGGCTCCCTCTGAAAGCAGTGAGGTCACTACAGTGAGATGCGATGTGGTTAATGGAAGATGCCAAGTTACGGAATGTGTCAGCCAAATCATCTTTTAGGAATGTAGAGTCTGTTGTTGGTGACAGTTCTTAGGAGATCAGTCTGTGTGGTTGTCACAGAGGGATGATTGTATGGTTGATAAGAAGAGGATGCCAAGCTTCCATAATAACTAAAGATATGGTAACTTAGGGATATGGTTATATAAAGCACTGGCATGTTCCTAATTAGAGGTACTACTTCCTGAGTCCCCTGGAATTTTCCCAGGAGATATATATCCATGAATGATACCACCCGGCCTAGAATGAGGTTTTGCAGAGCCCAAGACACTTCTTTTGTTATTCTGATGGTTGTTCATTTATTTTACCAATTTAAACAAATATCTTTAATTTTTTTAAAAAAAAAGTGTTATGATTTTTAAAAAATAATGTTGGCAGTAAAAATAATAAACATAGTAAAATAGCAGGAGTCATTCTTAGCAAATATTTTTTTTAAAATAGCATAGCACAAAGAATTTTAAGCAAAAAGGTTTGCAGTGAAAAGTGACCCACCTGTGACCCTCCTTTCCATCTGACTGAATTCCCCAGTTCTCCTTTCCAGAAAGTCACTTTTCCTATACTTTCCTCTATCCTTCCAGAGACACTCTATGCATATACAAATGTCTTTATTAACTGGCATTTTAAAGTTAAACCATTGGAAACTCTTGCCCTGAAAACTATTCAGGCCTCTGTGTGAATTTATGCTTAGTGGGGCTTCCTTGAGGACCTTTGTCATGGGCAAGTTTGGAGTCAGGTTTTGCAAGTTCAAAAGAAATTATATAAAGGAACAGTTTGCTGTCATTAGTTTGAAACAGATTTTCAAACCAGTAATGTCCGAGAATGTTATTTGACCATTACTGCCAAGCCCTTTGACTTAAGGGGGAATTTAATCAGTTAAATGTGTCTGTTGCTATAGAAATTGACATATACCTGCTTGTGTATGTGCTTTTTAGTTATGAAAAATTGCATACACACCACTATATATAATGTGTGCATTAAGTCTGATAAAGCAAATACTTATATATTCCCATTCAATTTAAGAATGAACACAGCATCAATACATTTGAATCCTCCATGTGCCTTCTCTTGTTCTTGGCTGCCCCTCCCATCTGTCTGTCTGGAGGCTCTGGCCATGTGCCTGCCTATTCACTTGGTACCAAGCAATCCCAACACATTCCTGAGCATTCTCTGTGTGATTAGGTGAAGCACACGTCCTTTTCCCAGGAGCATCCGCAGCAGACCTGAGCTTCAGATGTAGGTTTCAGAGTTTTTCAAGCATGAACTCTTAGTTGGAATCCCAATATTAAAACAGATAAAAGTTGAGCCTTTCTGGTTGAGGTGGGACACAGGGGTTCTCTGCCTCCTTCCCCTTCCCCTGAAACTCCTCCATGGAATTCATAAGCACAGTCTCCTCTGTAGAAGAATGTTTAGATTCTTTCACAGAGCCTGCAGGATCCTCCATGATCATGCCCCTCTGTGCCTTTCCAGCCTCATCTCATGCCAAAGTGAGCCACTTACATCTTCTCAAACATACCATAATGCTCTTCTATCACTCCATTCCTTTGAGTTATGCCTTTTACCGAAGCTGCGCCTCCCTCATATCCCTTTCACCCTCTCTCTAAAGAGGAGCGCCTCCTTATTCATCATTTGAGCCCTCTCTGAAACTGTAACTATAACCTCCTAGGTGCAGTTACTTGCTCTGTC